GGTAATAAATAAATAAATAAATGAATAAATAAATATATGAATTAATGTTTATTATTATTAAATGATATAAAGCTTTTGATATTTTTACTAATTATATATGCATATATAGCCCGAACCACTTCTTAATTTATCAGATTTAGTGAATGCTCAATTAGCTTTTCATAAAGAAGCATATGAAATTCTTAGAGAACTTGCGCCAGAGATTGATGACATTCATGTAACTCAAGAAGCATTATACAGGTAAATTAATATATATTTTATTTATAATTTTTAATTATAAATTATTCATTTTAATTAATATATTTTTTATAAAAATATTAAGGAATAGTCATAATGACTAAAATAAAACAAATTTAAATCATTGTGGAAAGCATTTTTTTCTTAATATATAAAAGATTTGCTAACATTAATATTATTAAATAATTATTTCCATTAATTTTAATCAATATTTAATAATTAATTTTGTATTTTTATATTTTAAATTTTTTTCATTACTATTTAATTATATATACACACACACACACACACACACACACACAAATACTCAAATTTACAATTAATAAATAACAAAATCATTATTTTGGATGATTTTGAATTTAATTGAATCATTATTTATATATATATGTCATATGTTAATCATATATGTTTATCAATGATAAAACTGTTTTTTAGCATCAACCAGTTTTGCTGGATAAGATCAACTTGCACTTGTCACTAATAATTATAAATAATAAACCCCTAACAAGCATTGGCCTGCAACCCATAACCATTCGCTGGTAATTAAATTTTTCAAGAGTCATATTTTAAAATACATTAATTTAGCATATACATATATAATTTTATTAACAATGTCAAGTATTTTAATAATCAATGATTAATTGCCATTGTCCAATCAGAGTTTAGTAAAAAATTATTGCGGTCGTTGGAGAATACATATATCACAAATATGCAAATATACGATGAATTCATCTCCCCGCAGGGAAAGCTTTCAGTCGTACGTCGTACCTGTACAAAGTCTAATAATCATTTTATCAGTCAACCGTTAAAATTGGCTCATTTTAAAAAAATCTTTGTTTTTGTTATGTACTATAAAATAATTCTTTATTTTAAAAATAATTGAATTTTTAAAAAAATAAATATTAAATTTTTTTGATATTTATACTAGCAGTTCTTGCAGCCTTTCATTGAGATCATTGATTTGTTTTTGAAAACTTTCTTCATCAGCTATATAATTATCAATGCTTTGATTCAAATCTTTTGTATCTTTTGGTAGATAAATTTCGTTGCAACTATTTAGATGCTCTAATATTGTTGTTCGTGATTCTTTTCGGATTTCTTCATTTGTTGCTTTAGAAATACCAATTAATGGAGGATTATCCACATGAATGATCCTGTTACATGCTTGGATTATTTTTGAAAGTTTTCCATTCTCTTTAATCATTTTATCACAGTCTTCGTGACATTTGACAGGTTCTTCAAATTCAGGAAAATTTGTTCTTACAATTGTAGTATATTTAATAATTTCTTCATTAAAAACAACTGCTCTCATTAAATCATACGCCTTGATTTCTGTTTCTGTGAAGCGTCCGTTAGTAACAAATAAAAGTTGGTTGAACCCGTATTTAATACAATGGGCTGCCTCCACTAATTGAAATAAAACCTCCAACTCTGTCGACCTTGTATCTCCAATTCCTACAGTATCAACAACCCTATACAATATTCCATCAATTAAATAATCTTCAATTTGATAATTCCTGGTTACGCTTACGGACCTTGCACTCTCTTCAAAACTATCGCTACCGGTAATCACATTGGCCAAAGTTGACTTTCCACTACCAGTTCTACCAATTATCAATATCGTTCTTACTGGATAAGTTCCATTGTTAATCTTTTGCGTGCTTGACATTTTTATTTATAATGCTAAATGTCAAAATATTTAATTTTATACCAGGTCGAGAAAGGAAATAAATATTCGACTTTGCTTATTATTTTATATAATAA